ACTCACCTCAGCCTCCCAAAGGCGCGGGATTACAGGCTGAGCCACCGAGCCCGGTTAGTGATTTTCTTTATATATCAGCTCTAATGAGATATTATTCACCCATTTAAAGTGTACAGTTCAGCTGGGCATGGTGGCTCAGCCTGTAATCCCAGCACTTTGGGAGACTGAGGCAACAGGATTGCCTGAGCCTAGGGGTTGGAGACCAGCCTGGACAACTTGGCAAGACCTCATCTCTACAATAAATAAAAAAGTTAGCCAGGTGTGATAGCATGCACCTGTAGTTCTGGCTACTTGGAAGGCTGAGGCAGAAGGATAGCCTGAACCCAGCAGGTTGAGGCTTTGGTGGCTGTGAGCGTGCCACTGCACTCCAGCCTGGGTGAGAGTGAGACTCCAACTCAAAAAAAAAAAGTATACAGTTCAACAATTTTTGGTATATTCACAGAGTTGTGCAACCATCACCACAGTGAATTATAGAACATTTTCATTGTCCCAAAAAGAAATCTCATACCAATTAATGTAAATCATCTTTTGCCTTAACCCTAGGCAACCACTAATCTACTTTCTGTCTCTATAGATTTCCCTATTCTGGACTCTCATAGGAATGGAATCATGTAATATGTGGTCTTTTGTGACTGGCTTCTTCCACTTATTTTCTAACTTACCCATATTGTAGCATGTGTAAGTAATTCCTTTTTATGGATATTTATGCATTAAATATTCCTTTAACATTCCACTGTGCGTATCTACCACATTTTATTTATCTGTATATCAGTTGAAGGACATTTAGGTTGTTTCCATATGTTGGCTATGAGTAATGTCACTGTGAACCTTTGTGCATTTGTTTTTGTGTAGACTTGTGTTTTTATTTCTCTTGGATTTATACCTAATAGTGGAATTACTAGGTCTTATGATAACTCTATTTAACAACTTTAAGAAAAGTGTTTATCCTTAAACTTTTTTCCCAAAGTAGCTGTACCATTTTATATTCCTACCAGAGTGTATGAGGATCCCAGTTTCTCCACATCTTCACTGACTTTTGTTATTTTGTCTTTTGGGGTTTTTTTTTAGTCGGAGTCTCACTCTGTCACCTAGGCTGGAGTGCAGTGGCATGCTTACAGCTACTGCAGCCTTGACCTGCTGGGCTCAGTGATCCTTCCACCTCAGCCTTCCAAGTAGCTGGAACTACAGGCATGTGTCACCATGCCCAGCTAAGTTTTTGACTTATTGAAGAGACGAGGTCTTACCATGTTGCCCAGGCTGGTCTCGAACCTGTGGACTCAGGCAATCCTCTTACCTCTGCTTCCCAAAGTGCTGGGATTACAGGTGTGAGCCACCTTGCCCGGCTGCTATCAGTCTTAAGTATAGCCATCCTAGTATCTCATTGTGGTTTGCTTTACAATTTCCTAATGGCTAATAGTGTTGAGCATCTTTTCATTTGTACATATCTTCTTTGGAGAAATGTCTGTTAATATCCTTGCCTACATTTTAAATGGATTACTTATTAAAATTTATTGAATTTTGTGAGTTCTTTATATGTGTTTGATACTGGTCCATTGTCAGATATATGATTTGCAGTTATTGTCTCTCATTCTGTGGATTTTCTTTCTCTCTCTTGATGGTATCCTTTGGAGAATAAAAGTTTTTTGTTTTGATAAACTCTAATTTTTTTTTTTTTTTTTTTGTTTCCTGTGTCATAGATCCAAAGAGATTTTGTCCTATTCAAGGTCATGAAGATTTACTCCTATATTTTCTTCTAAAAGTTTTATAGTTTTAGCTCTTACATTTAGATTAGTAATGCATTTTGAGTTGATTTCGTATATGGTGTGAAGTAGGAGTTCAGATTCATTCTTTTGCGTGTGAACATCCAAATCTCCCAGCACATTTGTTAATTCTTCCTCCATGAATAGTCTTAGCATCCTTATAAAAAATCTATTGACCATAATATGTGAAAGTTTATTTTTTGACTCTTAATTCTATTTCATTGATCTTCATTTCTGTTCTTAGATTGGTATCAAACCGTTATGATTACTATAGCTTTGCAGTAAGTTTTGAATCAGGAAGTAAGAGACCTCCAAATTTGTTCTTTTTCAAACATTTTTTTTTTGTGGCTATTCTGGGTCCTTTGAATTCTGAAAAGAATTTTAGGATCAGCTTGTTAATTTCTGCAAAAAATCCGTCTAGAAGTTTGATAGTGATTGCATTGAATCTATAGATCAATTTGGTCAGTTTTGCCATCATAACAATATTAGGTCTTCCAGTCCATGAATATGTAATGTCTTTCCATTTACTTTAATATTGTCTAACAATTTTTGTAACTTTCAAAAGTTCGGTTTTATACTTTTGTTAAATTTATCCCTAGGTATTTTACTCCTGGATTTCCAGGAGACAAGACCACCTCAGCACAGATGCAACTTTCACAAACCTTAAAACAAAGCTTACCCTACAAGAACAGCTTAAACTCTCTTTATGAAAGAAAAACCTGGTAAATGATCTGGACTAAATACAAGTATAAGAAAAGGGGAAGAATTCCCCAAGCTCTGAGAATGGTGTTCGAGCAGAGACTCTTCCTGTCATCTGATCCCTGACTGCATCCGGTTCATGCC